TTATTCAATTTTCCCTCAGAAAGCAAACTTCGGTAGGGTCACTGTGCCATAATTAAAGGAAAGAAAAAATGCTGCTTGAAATTTCTTTTGGCGCATGAATACACGCTGCGCATTGGTTCAATCCTATGAGGGAAATACATAACCAGAACTTCCAGGGAGACGAGGTGGGGGGGGGGGGGAAATCTCTCGAGCTGGTTCCGCGCGCCTCTCAGCTAGCTGGAATGTGCTTCGCGTTCCGACTCAATTCCACACAGGCGCCACTTTTTTAATACCTGTTTTTAAGTTGCGTGCAGGAGTCTGAGAGTGGGAGTGTTCAATTCAAGAGCACGAGAGGGCACTGGCGTGAGTGTTCTTCGGGCGTGAAGACCAGCCTGGCTCTTCGCAAGTGTATCCCATTTCGAGGAAGTGATGCGACGAACACGAGTAGTTTATGAAGGTGATCATTCACGCAAGTAATCCTCGTGTAGGCGTATTCCAAAATGTGAGAGGTGGAGGGACACTTGCACCACAAACTGGTGCGTGGGTGCGTGATTGCGTGCGTGTGAGTGTGTGTGTGTGTGCGTGGGTGTGTGAGTCTGCGTGTGAGGGGGTGCGCGTGTGTGTTTTTGGTTGCAGATGTGCGTGTTGCGAGAGTGTGCGTGTGTGCGAGTGTTTGCGTCCTATTGTAAACGTGGTCGATTCCGTGCGAATAATCGAATAAGAAACCACGCAGTCGAGGAATGTGAATATTCTGTGTCGACCAGGATTTATTTCATTTCGTGCAGACCCATTGCATCTTCACGTCAGCCCATCTATAGAGATTCGGGAGATATTGGAATCTATAAATGATCAAATCCGATCACTTTCAATTCCACACTCATTTCGCTAATTGGAGATATTTGGCGAAGCTCACTCTTCAAGTACCTCCCACATTCGACGATTCTCCCTTGGAGTGAGTTTGTGTCATTGTTTATGATGTCTTGCTTACGAGAAGCCTAACAACTCATTCGGAAGTTGGAAAAGACTGCCCTTATTCCATATTTCGAGGAGATCCGAAATGAGAACCACATACCTTTAAGCAAAGGGATAAATGAATGCCACATTTACGACAATATTTGTATTTTTTTGTAATGGCACGTAATTGGTTTTACCCTGGATTACCGCATTGGAATGGGATTGGGAATGGGACATGGAAAGAATGCAGATATAGTGACAGGAATGACTTTCCGTACGGTTTTTTTTTTAGACAAAAGAGACAGGGAAGACTTAATGGACGATAGGGAGAGAGAGAGGCACAGCAGTTGTTCTTGACGAGGGAAAACCCATCTTACCAGTTTTTTTTCATCTCTCTTCTTCCCTTCCTCTGCATCATATGCATCCGTATTTCTTCTATTATACTTCTTCCTTCTCTCTAACACCACAGGCATCTGAAACCATTCGAGGTCATGTCATAGCGTGGGGGGCACGTCTTGAGATGGGATAGCAAGGTCATCAATCTGGTCATGATTCATCTATTTTTTCTTCTTGAATTTGAGTGAAAGGGATGTTTTGACATGGCGAGCTTCTGCGTCTACACTTTTGGTGCGTCCCTGTTTGTACTACCTATGTATAGTATCTGGCAAGTACTTCGCCTCAAGTGCCAGGTAGACCCTTATCACCCGCTGGTAAATTAGGGCCTCCTTACTACTTTTTCGGTGGTATCCTTGGCTGTCCACCTTTTTGGCTTCGTACAGAAGACACCATGGTCTGGGTGGAGAGACTAAGAAAAGTGCATGCAGATATCAACAATACAAGTTATCCATTGTTCCTGCATTGTTCTTTTTGTGCAAAAATGCAATGAGCGGATGTTGCTAAGTCTCAGTTGCTCGAGCAACTGGGTCGGTGTTAGAGCTGGAGCTGGATGGTTCGGATAGATGCCGTAGTCGCATTCCTTGGTGGGATGCGAGGCAGATCGCAGGTCTTGATTTACCGATTGGATTCCGCGGTCACTGATCCTGGAGAGTGAGGGGAAGATAAATGAGTGACACTACTAAGGCGCCGTGGTAGCTATGGAGCTCGGCCCGCTGGTGAGCGGGACTTTGAGACGGGTAAGGGGACTCAGCGGGATGTCGTCTGATACAGATCGAGAGTTTCAGATACTACCGCTCACCGCATTAGAGGTCAGTGGTCGTCACTGGGTCGGGACAAAGGAATGGGGGCGTGTCGCGAAACGAGGTGGGGCTTTTGCCTTAGGAAAATTGCAAGTGTCGGAAAGGAATGTGATTCGCGGTCGTTCGCACTGACTGCTTTGAGTTGCCTTGTAATTTAGTTTCGTTATCTCCCTTTCGGTCGTAGGTCGTTAAGAGGATGAATGTCTTCTCAGCCTCAATATTTTACACCATTGAGGGTTTGTTTCCCCGAAGGGCAAACGAACTTATTACGGTGGCACCTCGGTGATCGTAGGAAATGGTTAATTCATTCGAAGGGTCTGAGTTCGACCATTGAGGTGAATTTCATTGGGTTATAGGTATTTCTCAAGTCTCTAATAAGTTGCTTACAGTTATGTGATGTCATTGACAAGCTAACAAACTGAGGTTCTTAGTTTCTTTAGATTATAGTACAGATATTACCAATTCAGTACCAAATTTCAGGTTTCTATATACGAGGTGTGGCTATTAAGTTTCCAGACTTTTATTTTTGAAAATTTATTTTTAAACTTACAAATGAATCACATTCATCGCCTTCAAAGTACTCCCTTCCAGAACTGATACACTTATCCCAAAGATGCTGCAATTGCTGGAAGCAGCTGTGGAAGTCTTCTTTCGGGATGTCTTTCAGAGCCTGTGTCATATTTGTTCGAAAGTCTTCAATGCTTTGAAATCGGTGGCCTTTCAAAAAATTTTTTGAGTTTGGGAAACAGTCTAAGGTCTCTGGGGCTAAATCGGGTGAATACAGTGGGTGATCCATTTCAGTGATCCGTTTGGCGACAAAAAACTCCCGGGCAGACAGCTCTGTGTGAGCCGACGCGTTATCGTGATGCAGGATCCACGAGTTCTCCTTCAACTGATCGCCGCTTGTCCTTCTCACAGCCTCACGCAACCTCTTCAAAACGTTCATGTACAACACCTGGGTGACTGTTTGCCCAAAAATTTTACATTAGTTCCCTTCTCGAGATTACGCTCCATTTCAAATCCGCCAGCGCAGACAAAATACGGTCTACCTTAACGGCCGCAGCTCGCAGCGCACTGGTCAGATCACACTGAAACTTGCCCAGTTATTAGCTAAGGCTCTCCTTTATGTTACAATCATATCCCCACTCCCCCCCTCTCTCTCGAAGTTGAGCAATCAAACCAGTCTGGAAATATAATAGCCACACCTCGTATGCCTTATCACTGGAACAAAAAGTATATTGAAAATGTCCCCAGAAAAGGAAATTATGCTATAGGTGAGATTTCTCAAGAGTATCGTTCAGCATAAAATATGCATCCCAACAGGTACCTAGATACATATTCTTACTGTTCTACCTTGCCTTAAGGAAAAACACTATAGGAACCTATACGATTACTGAAACATAAACTTGTTATAGGAATCTTATAAGCATCTACGAGGTATCTCGAAAGAGCGATAATAATATTTAATTATATCTCATTCGAAAAATTTCCCTTCAAAACATTTCATACTATTTTAAACACAACTAACCCTGACGGAACTTCCAAATACAGGCGTATGTATGGGATTGTACAGTACTGAATTTAGCCATGTTTGGAAACAGTTCAGTCCTTATCATGTTTTGGCCATTCTTAATAAATATGGAACTATATATGGTTCATATTCAGACCCCCATATATGGTGCTAGGTTTGCAATGTATATGACACTAATATAAACTATACGGAAAAAATACTGTATTTAGAATATATTTGGAAACTGTTCAGTTCATGTTATATCCACGGATATACACGCATGCACGTTGAGACCTTCCATATGGCCTGACATCTAGCAGTTTGTTCACTAAATATAAAGTTCTCACAATATAAGCGAGGTCGCGCTCATCCCGCCGCTAAATGTCTCTCATTTCCCCAAATGCTAATGAATGGTTCTGCAGAAGCTTTCACCCTTAACTCGCTAATTTCCCACGTACGAACCGAAGGAATGAAGTCGTTTTAATCGATGCATATATTGAGAAACGTAACCTAGCTTGAGGAGGCTCCAGGTAATTCTTGCCCAATGCATAGAGGGAGTGAGGTTCCCCTTGTGAAGTGAGTCACAAAAAGGCCTAACTTTAGATGTTGAGTGACTCTGCATCTGAGTCTCTGCCTCAATCTGCCATTAATAATGGATGCGGAGGCCATGTACTGTGTATTTCAAATTAAGAACCGTATGAGGGACCTGTATATGATAATATATAGTTACATTTATCCAATATATTAAATATAGCCAAAACATACCAAATTATTATATGTGCCATATACATTGCAACTAAGCACCATATTTGGGGCTTATATACGAACTATGTATAGCTCCATATTCATTAAGAATGGCCAAAACATTATATGAGCTGGACGGCTTCCAAATACAGTCTCCCATACATAATTTTTTTTTGTATTATGTACATTCAGAAGAAAGCCCCCCTGTATGGCCATATTTTATATCGCGCATGAAATCTGAATATGGAGTTCCCGTAAGGGATAGGTTTCTTGTAAGAAATATATATCGGTTTCATAACGGGACATTTCTGTAAGAGTTTTCACCTTCTCATGTTCTACTCATAATCGCAAAAGGTATTTCACCAATGATTCATATCGGAAACTTCTCCCCGGGCAAACCAAACATTAACGTTTATTCAGGAAAGCCAGAAATAAGTGGTGACACTCCTCTCCGAAAGAAAATACAAAATCACCCAATGTTCTTGAAATACCCCCAAAACACTCAAAAATACTAAGAAAACCTAACTAAGAAAACCCCGAAATCCCTTCAGAAAGCATTCTCAAAATTCCTCTGGCAAAGCGAAAACCAAGAGATCCAAGTGAGAAAAACACTGTAATCACAACCCCAGCGCCTCCGCGAGGTCGTAAACAGCAGGTGACGGAGGCTGGGGGCCGATCGGGGCGGGGACGACCAAGCTGTTCTGCTTCCATGATCTCCTCTTCATCTTGCCCTCGCGACGAAGCCCCTTCTGACGTGGCCAGGCGTTGATCTCGACCAGGGGGGCGTCATCTCCATCTTCTTGCTTGCTCAGCTTCTGGTAGTTGCTCACCACCACCACCCAGAGGTAAGTCATGATCCCTGCCACGAATGATGCATTCCTCAAAAAATATTCACGTCGTTCTTTAATTTTCAGAGAGACACTCACAGAGGCAGACGAAGATGGAGAAGACGATCTGCACTGCGTTCACCTGATTGACCGGGGCCGTGTTCCGCCCGAGCAAGGCCGCAACGTAACACATGAGAGTCACGAGACCGACCGTGATCACGGGATGAACGAGGATCCATGGTACGTGCATCATCCTCACGTTCTAAAAAAACCAACATATTTCCCAAGGAAAACCTTTCTGGTGTGATATCCACACGTCGAGGGAAACATTTGTGGGTAAAAACATAGATGATGATCAAAAAATGATGATCAAAAATGAAAAAAGTATAAAATGCTTTATTGTTTGCCAAATCTGGTGTGTATTTCAATAATCTAGGCTCCAAGGAGACCATGCATAAGTTCATGGTGCATTCTGTCTTGGAGCAAATCCACGTAATTCACACGAGCTGATTTTGAAGAATTCCTATTTTCTAAGATATTTCATTATAGGACGTTTTCCCTTTTTGCTTCATAGGTACTCAGTGACCAATTTTTTAAAACCAAATATATATGTTCACGCTTCGCTTTAACTTCTTTTTACAGGGCTATTGGCAGCAGGCGCAAAATAGGTGTGCCTATGCTCTGGCTGTTCCACGATTCGCTCTTAGAGCTTGCAATTGCGCAATAAATCAATACCAATATCAATAGCCATTCGGCATCCTTGGTTACGCGAACTCAGCCGAGGTCGTCAACTCACCTTCTGCGCAGCAAGAATCAGAATCAAGGAGCTCATGGCGTATAACACGATCAGAATGATGGCAGTGATCAGGATCTTCCTGTAGGCCCTGAAAATCAGCGAGAACTATTTGTAACTCCCGGAAGGAATTGCCCACCTGAGTATGCGATGAGTGAATGAAATTGGAATCACCGAAGAGCACCAGTGTAGTCTGGTTGATGCGAAGAGATGCGTCGAAAGTCACGGCCGATAGAGATCAAAACCGGGATGGAGAGAGTCTGCAATGTGAAGGAATGAATAAATTCTGTCATGAAAATACTGAACCTTTGGATTTTCTACTTATCGTGCAGGGGGCTTATGAAATCAGTCGTTTGTCAAATATGATGTTCAAGGGTCTCAGATTATCATACAGGAATATAATGCAACAGGATGCTCAATGCTTCCATGCAGAGATTCGGGAATTCATATGTGGACGCATGATGCTGGGCACTTACGAGGGCAAGGGTCGCGATGACGATGACCCCCTTCCTGGTGGAAATGCAGCCGCAGAACGTTCTTACCCACGCCATGACGTCCGCTGTGGCCAAAGCGTCTTCCTCCTCCGCGTCGAGGATGTCGTGCTGCTCGGTCAAGTCTTGCGGGGCAATGTGGGGGATTTCCGTGTTTCGACATCGATCACGAGATTTTTCTTTTCGAAACCATGGGGTCTAAAGTCAATGTAGACTAAAATATTCATGGCGATGGCCATATCCATATTTCTTCGCATACGAATTCCTCCCCGAAGAACGATCGATTGCAACTTCGGCCGATGGTCATAAATCAGTCCTCAACTACGAATTAAAGAATCTCTTAGCCCTAGAAAAAAAAAAACAATGTCATTATAAACGAAATTTGCTGAATCGCATGAATTAACCTGGATACACAGAACAGCCGATCATTGGCCCTGTTGACTCTCGTGATTATAGGAAAGTTCAGAGATTTCATTATTTACCCTATGAGGACCGAAGAGGGGCATTTGAAAATAGATATTCAAGCGACAGCAATGAGTGATCTTTATATTAATCATCTTCTGAATCTTTCATATGAATGCAAGGGTATAGTGCTAAGCCGACTTCTATGGAGTACAGTCGTTCAAGTGCATGGGGATCATCGACACCTATGACTCCTTGTTGAAGCGTGAATATGCAGGTCATGATTTACAATGTATTGAGTCATCTGGAGATATAAAGGCAGAGTAATGAAGGAAACAAGAATAAGGAACCAAGAAAAACCGTAAAATCCATATTATATGGGACGGCAAAAAGGAAATATGAATTAAAGTCGTTCATTTTTCTCTAAAACCAGTGTTCCTCCTCCCTTTGACATCAGACTAAGAGACAGCGTTACGCTATCGCGATCGTTAGTAACGGAAAAAGTGCCTTGGACGCTGGCATCTCAAATTGGACCATCGAAATAAGCGAGTGCGGAGGTAAGAGCGTAATCGTGGCAGCTTCTGCTGGGAAGGCCTGGTCGATCGATGGTATAAGAGCACTTCTTTCTCGCACATTCATGCAAGACTTTGCCATGGAAACATTGTGTGAACACGAACTGATCGATAGTAAGCAGAGCTATGGAACGTGAGAGGCCAATGCTGGTGCTATGAAGTTAGGATAGCAAGGATTGCCGGCTGTGATATGGCCATAAAATGACGAAAGTGAATGAGCGTTAACATAGCTTCCAAATACAGTCTCCCATATATAATTTTTATTTGTATCATGTACATTCAGAAGAAAGCCCCCCTGTATGGCCATATTTTATATCGCGCATGAAATCTGAATATGGAGTTCCCGTAAGGGATAGGTTTCTTGTAAGAAATATATATCGGTTTCATAACGGGACATTTCTGTAAGGGTTTTCACCTTCTCATGTTTTACTCATAATCGTAAAAGGTATTTCACCAATGATTCAAATCGGAAACTTCTCCCCGGGCAAACCAAACATTAACGTTTATTCAGGAAAGCCAGAAATAAGTGGTGACCCTCCTCTCCGAAAGAAAATACGAAATCACCCAATGTTCTTGAAATACCCCCAAAACACTCAAAAATACTAAGAAAACCCAACTAAGAAAACCCCGAAATCCCTTCTGAAAGCATTCTCAAAATTCCTCTGGCAAAGCGAAAACCAAGAGATCCAAGTGAGAAAAACATTGTAATCACAACCCCAGCGCCTCCGCGAGGTCGTAAACAGCAGGTGACGGAGGCTGGGGGCCGATCGGGGCGGGGACGACCAAGCTGTTCTGCTTCCATGATCTCCTCTTCATCTTGCCATCGCGACGAAGCCCCTTCTGACGTGGCCAGGCGTTGATCTCGACCAGTGGGGCGTCATCTCCATCCTGTGGCTTGCTCAGCTTTTGGTAGTTGCTAACCACCACCACCCAGAGGTAAGTCATGATCCCTGCCACGTATGATACATTCCTCAAAAAAATATTCACGTAATTCTTTAATTGTCAGAGAGACACTCACAGAGACAGACGAAGATGGAGAAGACGATCTGCACTGCGTTCACCTGATTGACCGGGGCCGTGTTCCGCCCGAGCAAGGCCGCAACGTAACACATGAGAGTCACGAGACCGACCGTGATCACGGGATGAACGAGGATCCATGGCACGTGCATCATCCTCACGTTCTAAAAAAGGCAACATCTTTCCCAAGGAAAACCCTTCTGGTGTGGTATCCATACGTCGAGGTTTTGTGGTAAAAACGTATAATGAAAAAAACGGATAATGAAAAAATGATAATAAAAAATGATGAACATTTTCTAAAATGTTTTATTGTTGCCAAATCTGGTGTGCATTTCAATAACCTAGGCTCGAGGGAGACCATGCAGAAGTTCATGGTGTATTATGTACCCTCCCTTGTCTATTGTGTCTTGGAACACTCAACGTAATTCACACGAGATGGTTTTGAAGAATTCCTATTTTCCAAGATATTTCATTTTAGGATGTTTTCTCTTTTTGCTTCATAGGTACTCAGTGACCATTCTTTAAAAAACAAATATACATGTTCACGCCTCGTTTTAATTTGTTTCTACAGCGCTATTAGCAGCAGGCGCAAAATATGGGTGCCCTGTTCAGGCTGTTCCGCGATTCGCCCTCAGAGCTTGCAATTGCGCAAAAATCAATACCAATATCAATAGCCATTCGGAATCCTTGATTACTCGAACTCAGCCGTGGTCGTCAACTCACCTTCTGCGCAGCAAAAATCAGAATCAAGGAGCTCATGGCGTATAACACGATCAGAATGATGGCAGTGATCAGGATCTTCCTGTAGGCCCTGAAAATCAGCGAGAAATATTTCTAACTCCCGGAAGGAATTGCCTGCCTGAGTATGCGATGACTGAATGAAATTGGAATCACCGAAGAGCACCAGTGTAGTCTGGTTGATGCGAAGAGAAGCGTCGAAAGTCACGGCCGATAGAGATCAAAACCGGGATGGAGAGAGTCTGCAATGTGAAGGAAGGAATAAATTCTGTCATAAAAAATGCTGAACCTTGGGATTTTCTACTTATCGTGGAGGGGCTTATGAAATCAGTCGTTTGTCATATATGATGTTCAAGGGTCTCAGAGTATCGTACCGGGATATAATGCAACAGGATGCTCAATGCTTTCATGCAGAGATTCGGGAATTCATATGTGGATGCATGATGCTGGGCACTTACGAGGGCAAGGGTCGCGATGACGATGACCCCCTTCCTGGTGGAAATGCAGCCGCAGAACGTTCTTACCCACGCCATGTCGTCCGCTGTGGCCAAAGCGTCTTCCTCCTCCGCGTCGAGGATGTCGTGCTGCTCGGTCAAGTCTTGCGGGGCAATGTGGGGGTTTTCTGTGTTTCGACATCGATCGCGAGATTTTTCTTTTCGAAACCATGGGGTCTCAAGGCAATGTATACTAAAATATTCATGGCGGTGGCCATATCCATATTTCTTCGCATACGAATTCCTCCCCGAAGAACGATCGATTGCAACTTCGGCCGATGGTCATAAATCAGCACTCAACTAAGAATTAAAGAATCTCTTAACCCTAGAAAAAAAACCTAGGTCATTATAAACGAAATTTGCTGAATCGGATGAATTAACCTGGATACACAGAACAACCGATCATTTGCCCTGTTGACTCTCGTGATTATAGGAAAGTTCAGAGATTTCATTATTTCCCCTATGAGAACCGAAGTGGGGCATTTGGAAATAGATATTCAAGGGACAGCAATTAGTGACCTTTACATTAATCATCTTCTGAATCTTCCATATGAATGCAAGGACATAGTGCTAAGCCGACTTTTATGGAGTACAGTCGTTCAAGTGCATGGGGATCATCGACACCTATGATTCCTCCATGTTGAAGCGTAAATATGCAGGTCATGATTTACAATGTATTGAGTCATCTAGAGATATAAAGCCATAGTAATGAAGGAAGCAAGAATAAGGAACCAAGAAAAACCGTAAAATCCATATTATATCGGACGGCAAAAAGGAAATATGAATTAAAATCGTTCACTTTTCTCCAAAACCAGTGTTCCTCCTCCCTTTGACATCTATCAGACTAAGAGACAGCGTTACGCTATCGCGATAGTTAGTAACGGAAAAAGTGCCTTGGGGGGCTGGCATCTCAAATTGGACCATCGAAATAAGCGAGTGCGGAGGTAAGAGCGTAATCGTGGCAGCTTCTGCTGGGAAGGCCTGGTCGATCGATGGTATAAGACCACTTCTTCCTCGCACATTCATGCAAGACTTTGCCATGGAAACATTGTGTGAACATGAACTGATCGATAGTAAGCAGAGCTATGGAACGTGAAAGGCCAATGCTGGTGCTATGAAGTTAGGATAGCAAGGATTGCCGGCTGTGATATGGGCATAAAATGACGAAAGTGAATGATCGTTAACATAGAACTGATCGATAGTAAGCAGAGCTATGGAACGTGAGAGGCCAATGCTGGTGCTATGAAGTTAGGATAGCAAGGATTGCCGGCTGTGATATGGCCATAAAATGACGAAAGTGAATGAGCGTTAACATGCTATTAGTGGGACAATTCACATATTCGTATTGGAAGTTGCGAAACATAATTGGGACTCTTTCCTGGTGACCATCTTTCTGAGAATCAATTAATTGATGAGATTGACCGTGATGCATGCAATGAAATGGCATTGATATTTATGAGTTCATGAGACTGAAGACGCGTCTATGATCTTTATTATTCATGCCAATTGCGCATTTTTAGCGATTAAAATATTCCACAAGAACAATAAGATCTTTCTCAACGGTGCAAGTGATGCTCCAGTCATGCAGCGGTTCTATTACAGCTACACCCATGCGTGCTGAAAAGTCCCCCTTGATTGGAACGGCAACCTTAACATTTGTCATGACTTAATTAAACTTTAGATCTCAACGGTGCAAGTGATGCTCCAGTCATCCAGCGGTTCTATTACAGCTACACCCATGCGTGCTGAAAAGTCCCCCTTGATTGGAACGGCAACCTTAACATTTGTCATGACTTAATTAAACTTTAGTCTAGGTTTAATAAACGGAATAAAAACCATTTCAGAATGAAAAGGAAAAAGAAAAAGAAATATCAAAAGAACATAAAAGAAGAGTTGACTGTAGAATTGTGAAAATTGGCTAATCATTTTCATGGAATCAAAGTCTCCTCATTACATTTTTCTGTAAAATATCAATCACATTGCTTCTTCATTGCCTCACCTCCCAATTTGGGAAAAAAACCCGTGCATTCCAGACTTTTCCCCAACACCGTGATAAAAGTTGGGATTTTCAATCCTAAGTCGAATCGGTCCACCACATCATTGAGACTTAAGGACTAGCACATTCTTGCATCTGTATCTTTATCCAGGAGGAACCAGGACTGGTATGAAGTCTAGAAAGTCGCTTCTGCAGCATTCGATTGGGTGTTCGTTGCTTTTGATTTGTTTATTGTGGGATGAAGGGGATTTCGTTGTTCATGAACGCGTCAGTAGCGATCTCCTGTAAGTACCAGCCTCATGGCTTATGGCTCAGTTATAAAAACCCTGTGTCAATGTCAACGTTCTGCCAACTTCCTCGTCCTATTGGCCGATTTTCAAAGAGAAGCATCCTCCACTCATAAAAGTCACTAATAATTGTGACGTAACAAGCGATCAAGATTAATTGGTCACCTGTCCCGTTCCAGATTCGAGAGTTAAGGCAGGTTCGCCAGACAGAAATTCTGGAGAAATGGAAACCCTCGTGATCTTTCCAAGTAAATTACTTAACTTTATCAAAATAAAGACACTAATGAAATATCAAAAAAAAGGAAAGGAAATAAGGAAAACACAGTTCTTCACAATACTTGTTAAAGAATTTAAGTTATTACTTAATATTGGATGGGAGAACGATCCAACTGGGGCAAATTCTACTTGAATTTGCAGGTTAATTATATTA